GGAGAAGCGTAGGATGGAGCGCGTGCACAGCCATCACCTGGAAAGTTAATTTGGTTGGATTTGACCCTTAAACTTTTACATCTGACCCTTTAGTTTGGGGTCCAGCGCAGACCAGCTCAATGGCATGATTCTGTAATGATGACGACATTCACATTGGTTGGGCCATGGATGCTCTGGTCTCAGAATCGGATGTGTATGTTCTTGCTGTAGCCGGGCCTGCGAGCTGAGTTTGCATCTGCATCACTGCGAGCGTAAGAAAAAAACCCTAAGCCTTAATTGCGTGCGGAGAAAAAAATAACCTAAAGTTACCCTAGAGAAACCCTAAAACTGAGTGAGAGAGAGAGAGACCTGAGAGAGAGTCCAAGTGTGTGTTTGTGTGCGTGTCGGTCTGTGCTTCTGCGTGCATCCGTATGCATTGCGATAGTTGGCACTGTCAGAACCCACAGCCATGCGCCCTTCCGCTTGAATGCTTAGCAGGGCAAAGAGTTCATCATCAGTAGCAGTTGCAACCAGTGGTGCCGAGGGCTTCTGATTCTGATTCTGATTCTGATGCAAGTTTGATGCGAGGACGAGTGAGTTGCATCAGGCTGTTGGCCCAGGGTGATTCCGAATTCCACGGTCACTCAGAGCAATCGCGCCAATGGTAGTAGGTCATGCGAATACTCTCTAAAAAACCCAAACCTCTTGAAACTCTCACGCCTTGTTAAAAACCCTAAAAGCTTATAGCTTCTTGGCCGTGCTTAACCTTTATAAGTTTGGATACTGAGTTACTGCCGCCCCCACCAGCTTGATGAGTATAGTCTGGATACTACATGAGATTTAGGGTTTGGCCGTTCTTGTGTTTGATCGTTTCTGGGTGGGGGGTAGTGTCCAGTCCCAAGGCCCGAAGCCCTGCGATCCTAAATTTCAAGCCCCAAGTCCGAAATCCCGGAAGAAGCCCGACAGTTAACAACTAACCCTAAGAATGCTCGTGCCAGTTTCTTGAGCAACATCAGTTAGATTGCCATGCCATTTGCAACTGCTGTGATAGCAGTTTTTCTGATGAATATTTCTGCTGCTGTGCGAGCGGCCCTGACACAGAAGGATGACAGTGTTTTTCATGCTGCTGGATCCCCAGCGGTGGGTTTTCAAGATGCGGCTAGAAGTCAGTTCCTCCAGTCTTTCGGAAACACAGCATCCGCCTCGTCTGCAGCTGGGCGCCCGTCGGTTTTTCAAGATGCTGCTAGAAGTCAGTTCCTGCAGTCTTTGAAGAAGAAAGCATCCGCCTCGTCTGAAGCTGATCCGGGAGAAGGCCGCGGCAAGGTCGCTTTCAGTTTCTCTGGCCTTCGCCGTGCAGTTGGCGGGGCGTAGCTCGGATAGGCATTAACATGTCTCGGCAGCATCAGAACAATCCGGTTATGAATAAGTCCTCTTGCAGTGATGAGGAAACTCCGTGGGCATGGACAGAGGCTTCAAGTGACGGCAAGGAAGCCAAGACCAAATTACAACAACGTTCGTCGGCGCGCGCTGGCATTGAAGAAACCCAAGAGAACCACGTGAAGCTGTCTGCAGATAGCTTGTCAAGTGTGTGCCTAAAAAAAACAAGCTGGGGTTTGCTTAGTAGAAGTATATGGCTCTGCCCAGGTTCAAAGAACGTGCTGTGGATCGACGCCGTTTACATGCTTTGCTTGACGGCGACAAAGACTGCAAGTGTGCTCGGAATGCATGTTTTCGAGTGTTAGCTAACTCTCTGGATGCAGTGTTGGAGTTTGTCACGAAGTTCAATGATATGGACAAATTGGACCAAGATGAGTTCGCCACTAGCCGCGCAATGAGTGAAAACCAAAAACATGTCTTGATATTGAAGTAGTGCTCATGGTTGCTTTTCACATCCAAGATGCACAGCTTGGGCAGCCAGCAGCCAGCTGCAAGAAGGCGATCCTATGAGTTTCTGGGGCAAGCCATTTCTCTTGACTGTTTGGCTTGCCTTTTGGGGGTTGGAAAGAAAAGGATGCTGAAGGCCATGGCTGGAAGATTGGATATGCGGTTTGCTGAAACTGGGGGCTCTGTGAGACGGAGCCCAAAGACCGACTCTATAGACAGATTTCTGTACGAGCTCCATTCTTCGGTGGCGGAAACGCTGCCCAGTGGGCTCCTGGTATCGAGCAAGTCTGTCTGTGTGTGTGTGTGGTTGGTGTGTGTGTGTGTGGTGTGTGTGTGTGTGTGTGTGTTTGTGTTTGGTTGTGATTGTTCCGTATATCAATGTATGCAGGTCTGTGCACAGCTTGCATGTCCAATCAGACTGATATGTAGGCCTTGAGGTTTTAAGGGTTGGGGCTGTAGGACTTTAAGGTTCTATCTGATTGGGTCTGCTTGCAGAATCACGCATTGAGGTTCCTGGGGCGGCAGAGAAAGGACTTGAAGCCGAAGCCATCTAGAAAACAGCTTCAGTGGTCTTGTGCTCTGGGTTGCATTGACGAAGAGCCCGTGTCCGATGATGAACCCACTAGTGGTGAAGAAGATGATCGGAACGATGCAGCTGTAATTCTGCCTCCGGAGCAGATGCAGCTGGATGCTGACTTGAGACAGGAAATGGAGATGGACAGAGAGCTGTGGAACAAGTAGCCCGATTGATGTTAGTATGTCCGGTTCTAATCGGTGACATCGATGGATTGTGTTTGTGTTTGCAGTTTAGGCATATTGGCACCGCCTTTGGCCTCGACCTGGACAAGCTGCCGAGGCGATGGCTTCCTCCGGGCCATGTCATGGACTTGTACAGGCACTATGCCGTCAGTGTTCATGAAGAAGTGCGAGCCACGCTTCTCGGCACCGACTGTTGCTTGGACCTTGCAGTGACCATCGCTTGCGGTCCCTCCTGTGTTGCTTCAGGTACAATTTGTTCCTAGCAAGATTTCAGCAGAAGTGGGCCACGAAGCTCGTTTTCCGAAGCACAACGGACTTTGCTGAATGTGATCGATGTTTCAGCCTCAAAGAGGGTATCCGCCAGGCAAGAGTCCCTAGCCTCATTATTCATGCGGTGCATGAACCACAGTATCAACATTCTTTGTCTTTGCTTCCCAGGATTTGGATACCAAGATGGGGTTCGTGTACGACTACAAGAAACACCTAGAGGATGTACAGCGGGACAGGAGCCTTGAGCAAATGCTTCAAAGCGAAGATTGTTTCCTTACCAACAACACACCTGTATTGTTGGTCCAGACGGACGGAATGGATCAAGCAAAGTGGTCGGTCCCCCGACTTTGGGATCGCCCCAGCAAGGAAATGGGCTCCGTGGTTAGGACGGGGCCTGAATTGTTTTACTTTCAGTGTGTCCTTGTGCAGTTGGTTTCGAATTCAATTCATCAGATAGTGAGGCCGCGGATGAAGGTCCAAGGGGTCTGGATCCAAAGCGTTTGCTTGCAGCTCTACGTTGCAGATGTGCATCTGGCCCATGACAGTTCCATGACGGTGGAAGTGACCTGTCCGATGAATCAAGATTTCATGCCATTTAGAACGAACTGTGTTGCAGATAGTCGCCTTGACCTCGAAAAGTCAGCCTCATTTATCAATTTAGGTTCTTGCCAGATCACTGGAGAAATGCAATCAGATATTGCAATCACATGGCAAATGTATGCCAAAGGAGGTGCTGGTGTGGGTGCCTCGTTTGCATACTTGTTGATATGTCTATCAGGGCCACATCGGATCGTCTTCTTGCTTCCAAAGTTCAGAGGTTGATAACACCACACGAGAGAACAAGAACGGCACCCTGCTGAGCTATCTCAGCTGGCTAGTGGCCTCGTGTGGGTTTCGACTTGCGGGCATGCTCAATGCGAGAGTTGGCCACACTCATAATCGCCTAGGCCCGCCTCAGGGTCTCGGTGTTCCAGCTGCTAGTGTGTTGAGTGACAGACCAGATGTTTCTTGACTTGCAGATGCTCTGTATGGGCTCCTCGCCACCGCCTTCCGTTACTTGACAGAGTTGCTGGATCCGCTGGACGTTTCCGAGTGGCTTGCTTCACTAATTGTGATTGTGTGCCGTTGCTTCTGTCACGTCTCCGTTTGTCCCAGTTTGGTGCTGGCTGAGGAAACTGTATGGCATTTTGCAGGACCTCAACATCCAGTCGTGGATTGGGCCGAAAGCCGTCTTTTCAGTTCATGTGCTGGACACAGTGCGGGATTGGAAAGGGTGGCTGCTAGACTCAGTCATGTTAAAGGATCCAGATTGATGCAACCAACTGAGTTTATAGTTGGGAGGTTCTCGCAAAGAACTGAGGTTTGAACAGCTCCGGGTCGGACTTTCCGGAGGCCTTCTAGACACTTCCGATGGATTGCACTGCTTTATGTTCATGCGACGGAGAGGTGGCTCGTGCAGCAAGATTAAGGGTTGCTGTGCTCCTGTTCATAGTCACAGTTGCAAGACGACATGACGTGACAACTAAGACATACCGTCCCACCTGAAGATCACCGCGAGTGGAAGTGCAGTTCGACTTCTGCAATCTCATCCGAATGATTGCTGTTGTATCACCAAACGATATGCTTCTGATGCATCTGCAAGCCAACTGCCAGTGCTGGTTCTGCCAGTGTCTTTCCTGGACCGCCTGCACGGGCCTGTGCCTGGGATAGCTCGCCCCAGCAAGGTGCCGCACGCAGAGCACCGCCGCAAGTGGCTGGATCTTGCAGACTCGATTTTGAAGCAGTATCCTGTGCTCTCTGCCAAGTTGCAGCGTAGTGTCTTGTACCTCACGCAAGTCGGTCGGGGTCAAGCTCCTGCAGCCTCCTTCGAGCCGCTTCCATGGCATGAATCAGAGAAGCAGGGTGATTTGGTGCAGGGATTGGAGAGCTTGTCAAGTTGTGGCATACTTTTGCCAGTGGCAACATTCAGAGCACAGTTGCGAAGGTAAAGCGCCTTGGGCCTTTGCCACTCTGGGCTTTTGACTCCCGTGGTTTCGTGGCCAACCTGAGAAGTGATCTGTGGTGAGAAAAGGGTTTTCCTTGTTCTGTTTAAGTTTGAACAGGCAGTGCATGTCTTATCGTCCGTGCCAATGGTGCTGCCGAACATGTTCAATGCAGCATCGTGATTTGAGCTTATGCTGCCTATGCTGATGTCCAGTGTAGCCTCAAGGTCTTCCTTTGTAGTGCTGAGCCGAAGATGTCCAGTGTAGGTTCAAGGTTTTCCTTTGTTGTGCTTGAGCCGAAGATGTCCAGTGTAGGTACAAAGTTTTCCTTTGTTGTGCTTGAGCCGAAGATGTCCAGTGTAGCTTCAAAGTTTTCCTTTGTTGTGCTTGAGCTGAAGATGTCCAGTGTAAGTTCAAGGTTTTCGTTTGTTGTGCTTGAGCTGAAGATGGCCAGCGAGTCCAGTGTAGGTTCCAAGTTTCCCTTTGTTGTGCTTGAGCTGAAGATGTCCAGTGTAGGTTCATGGTTGTACTTGTGGTGCAAAGCAGATGCACAAAGTGTTCGTGTAAGTCCCAGACCTGAGCTACAAACCCTGCCATCCTGGAGCATGGCAGCTTCTTCCTCATCCCGAAAGAGGACACGCTGCCAGAGTCATCCCTCTTTCCCAAAATCCACAGAGAGACCTGAAGGACCCGCGAAGATGGTGGCAACCTGGACCTGTCATCTGCCGTGGCTTCCTTGGCCAGACAGATGCCTGGCTCCTCGAAGGACAGCTATAGGGATGTCGTAGTTGATGAGTGCATTGAGCTTGCTGGAATCGGTGTGTATCCCAGTGTTTTGAGGCCCAAGCTTAAAGCTTCCCTTTTGAGCCTGCAGCATGCCAATGCTGCCTCCTCGGAAGGTCCCTCGCAAGGTGCAAGGCAAGAACCGGAAGAAGTTTCCGAAGGGCCACTTTTCTACACGCGACCTCGCCATGCTCATGGATCGGCAGAAGGTCTCCCTGAGCCGTGTTATGTGTTCAACGAACGAGTTGGTGACCTCAGTCTGGCCGTCAGCTCACAAGCTTCTCGAGCGGATGGAACGCCTTCTTCAGAAGTGGGAGCGGCTACGCATGGACACTCATGATGACAGGGCTCTGGTGGCAAGCAGAAAGAAGGCTTAGGCCTTTAAACTTTGTTGTGCCGACCGACAGCGCTGGAAATGACTGCGGCTTGCCCTGGCAGGAATGGCCCAGTGCTGGAGATGTTACCTTGAATGGCCGTGTTTGGCGATGTACAGCCGCAAAGGCATACCAGTTTGGCCTCTAATTAGAGTGGGGCTGTGATGTGCTTTCGCTTCGCGACAGAAAAGATGAAGCTCCAAGCCTACTGTGTTGTCATGAACCAGGGACCAGACAGCAGCTGTTGTTGAGTTGCTGACATTGCAGAACACTGCTCCGCCTTCTACGCCGGCGAAGAGAGCACGCATCCCCACGACTGATGTCGTATATCCGGATGTCATGAAGACTAGCAGCCCCAAGAATGTTGCGGATCAATTCCGCTGGCCCCGAAGGTGGGGCAGACACTTTGAATTCTGTTGGTTGTGCCAAAACCAAAGTGCAGTGCACAGATGATACACTCAGGTTCCTGCACTCCTCCGTTGAAACTTGGGGCAAGAAGTATGTCCTAGACAGCTTATCACAGATGAGCTGGAAGATGTCAACGACCTTTTCTGGTATGGGTTGTTTCGAGAGTGCTGCACTTTCAGAACCTCGTCTTTCAAAGTGTGGCTTTGCAGAGTTTGTCTTGAGCTCTTAGCTTGGGAGGGCAGTGCAACTCAGGTTCGCGAGCACGCGAAGGAGATGCTCCACAAGAATGGTCGCGAAGAGTCGGCTTGTGTCGATCTTCGCTCGGCTTTGGACTATGACTGCAAGGCCCAGAAAGTCTTGCAGGCGACGTTTCCCGGGAGATGTGTGTCACTCAGTTGCACTACATGCCCCGGTCCGTTGCCCCAGTATCATAGTCAGTGCAAAACAGAAAGAATCGTTGGAGGTTTATGATGCAGTGTTGCTGTAAAGTCCCCCAACATGCTCTTAGATACCTAAACCTCCCCCGTGCAGTCTTCTAGAAGTTTCCCCAAAACAGTCTGCTTTTCAGCATGTGTTTTCTGTTGTAATATTTATCATTGTTCATGCCCGGGGAGACGAGGCGGCTGGTTTAATGTGTTTAGCTTCGCCTGGGTGTACAGGCCAATCATTGGTTCAGTTGTCATTGCTGCAAACACTAGAGCTAAGCATAGGCTAGCCCATGTTAAGATAATGGAGTCCTGGTTTCTGACTTATTTGATTGAAGTTACGTATTGAAACCAAGACGCATAAGCTTGAACTTGTTTTCTCGCAACATATTAAGCTGCCCCCTAATGCTCTGGCCGGTTGGGATTTGGGGTTTAGGCCTCACCCTTGTAAGGTGGGAGCGGTTGCAAACAATTTTGCTTGCATGTCTGAGGTTGGCCTGCTAATTCATGTGGTTTGGAAGTTCCGTTAAGCCCTAAGCCATAAGCCGAAAAGGTTCCCAGATCATGGGCCGGGCTCATTTAAATCCTCAAGCCTCAACTCGACCCACTTGTGCCCAGTCTAGTCTTCAGTGTTCTTTTAATTGATTCGGGGTAAGTATAGGGTGAGTCGGGACAGCATCAGGTCGTTGGTCCATTCGAGAGTCACAAAACCATTCCTGATGATATGCAGTTTCAGTCCTGAGGCTCTAGTGCTATGTTTGTTGGTGGCAATGCATTTAAATCCCGGTCCTGCTGCCTGGGTGAATATGGCAATATCATGTTGGCTTCCTGTCCTTAGGGTTTCTGTCCCCTGGGCGCGGATAATATCCTGAGGCTGTGGTGAGTGTGGTGTAGAAGACGTGGTGTTGGCAGTGAGGCACTCAACACGGAATTGCTCCGATCATTATGCAAAATACGGTAGTAGGGTCGTGGGTTCTGGTGCTGGCATCATGACTCCTCAGCATTCTCCATGGCAACGCCATTAAAAGTCTTGCAGTGTGGTGTTGGTACCATGACTCCGAACATTCCTGAAGTTGTCTTCTTGGCAATGCAATAGAGTCGAGTGCTGCTTTCGCAATGGTGCTAGCATCCTCACCTGATTGTTGAGTTCGGCTGAAGCTTCATGACTTACGTGATTGATTAGCTGCATTCACCTGTGTAGTGGTGCTGGCAGCATGACACAATACTGGCTCTGCCTGTGTCAGCATCTTCGCATGCATCTGTTGCTGTGCAATCTTCCCTGGGGTGAACATGTGACGAAGCAGTCACGGCGATTTTGCTCGTTTGCAGCTTAGCTTGCATGTCGTGGCCTTTAATTTCACCCAGATCCCGAAGCCCAAAGCCCAAACCTGTGCACGGACCCGGAAGCTGCAACTAGTTTTTGTGTTGTTCGCACGCACAAGCTTTCGAGTCGCATTCCATTCTATCAGGGTGTGGGTGGTGATAAGAAACGAGTGTGGGTTTTATTGTTTGGGATCTATTCAACGAACATGGTCGGACTTGCTGCGACACTCTAGGCCCACGCCAATATAGTTTGTGTATGCCGGCATGCTGAAGTTCTAGAGGTGCAAACTAGGTGGAATCATTATCTGCACGTGGCGTGTTGCTGGGTTGCTAGGTTATATACGGGCTTTCGGCTGTGAGGTTTAGCCACAATCACCGTGTTGCTAAGTGTTTCTGTGCCATCGTGTCAGAAAACACAGCTGAGGTTCGGTGATGTGCTGAATATTGACTTCGCTTTGCAACGTGGGCAGCAGCCACACGGCTGGTGCCACGTGCACAGATCCTACTGTGCCGTGGGTGTTGAGCCA